TAATGACTACTTACAATTTTTTCTGGCTTTCTAACTAGGCGACAAGAGCTGTTACAAATTCGTCCAAGGTAATCATTATCCTCTTCGTGGGAACGAAGCTTGTACTAACAGAGAAAATGACAATTTTCTGTTCAGAAAACGATAGAATATAATTCATCATTTGATACATGAAAACCTTAGCTTTCTATTATTTATACATAATATAGTATTACAAGAGAGAACTATTTTAAAAAATCCTGAAAGAGAGGATGTGACAGGTGGGTGTGGCAAGAGGGGTCTCATATTGTATTTGATGGCTCTGTAACCAAACAAGATTGAAGGCTATAAAAATTATGGTTTGTCCAAGCAATGACGATTTTATAGTAAGTAACTCACGTTAAATTTCATGCTTATTGGATGGGTAGTGAATAAAATAGAGAACGGGATGCCTAGAGAAAATATGTCACATTTCTCACACAAGGGAAAAGTCAGGATTTTTTTAATATTGTCTTATAAAATTAAGAACTTAAAACTTATATACAATTAAAATATGGATTATTAGCTATGATTTTATGCTCTACTAACTAGTATAACATCAACAAAGGTAGTTTAATAAAATTTTGATTGTAAGCCACTAAAACCTTGTGACATGCACAAATAGGGTTAATCCAGTAAAAAAAAATATATAAAAAAACTGCTAGATATTAATGTGCAGATTAATTAAAGAGTCTTAAGTGTTATTACAAATAATAAACAATTATTAGGCAAAAAAGACAAACATTTATTTTGATGGTGAAATACACATAAAACCCTTCATTGTCAGGTACTCACCAATAAAATCTTGATAATTATTATAATATAGACTCATAAAACTTTTCACGGGGAGCAGTAGCTCCCAGCCAATGGCAGTGGCTATTTCACATCTATGAAAATTGTGTACAAGTCAAGGCATCAAGCCAAAGTGGTAGGCTCATGGAGAAATTTGTATACTTCATTGGACCATAAGGCCCCTGCTAAGCATGCAACTGAACCTGCATCAAGAAACAGTATGAATAGAGAAAAGATAGAAAGTTCCTCCAGAAGAAAACTAAAGGAAGACCATGGCTAAGAAACACTAAAAGATAAAATACAGAATCTACAATTACAACTATAGGCTTACAATGCTTACGCATATTTATAAATTCTTCATCATATTTTTTCTACATTAATCTGAAGGCATTGATTAATATTGGTTACAGAATTTCAATGAAAAAGTTTTCCTGGAAGTCAGCACATCAAACCGTTTGAGTGAATAGCTACCCCAGCGGGCATGCATTGCCATGACTTAGTGAATGCATGCCAAGTGCTCAGCCTGGGTATGGTAGGAACTGAGGCAGTGCACTGATCCAGCTGGAAGATGAGAGAGTAATTCACTTCTGTTTTGGAAAGGAATGTACCACAGCCCACGGACATGTGCATGCAACATAAATACATTAAATAAAATCATAAAGATTTGACTCCAATGGATCTAACCAAATTTAAATTGATTAAAATAAAATACAAATAGAGGCCTAGGCCTTATAAAATTAAAGCACATATACATCCATATAGATGCATGTGTATCAGCCAGTTTTCAACCAATTTAAAGATGTCATTCAGCAGCAAAAAAACATAGCTGAAGCCAGGACCAAAGCAAATGGCTTCTTAAGGCAAATAAAATGTTTTGACATAATGGCTTTTCTACTTTACTGCTGGATCTACTGAAGCCCCTGCAAGAATTGTTGTTGGCTATACAAAGCAACCCCTTGCAAGCACACAAGACTGCTTTAATGCAACTATAGCAACCTTGGCTATTTACGAGAACAAAAATGGTCCCAAGCTGAATAGCTTCTAGAATGATGCCAGAACATATACAGGTGTTGAAGTGGTAGGTGCACAGATCCTATGCATGGTCTCATTGCTGCTACCTCCAAGCCTCATGTGACCAGCTTCATGAATTACAAGATACATAAATGCTAATGTAAAAGCAAGGCTTTGTTGGAAGTACTATATAAAAAATTGTAAATTATTAGATACTTAAATTTTTTCATTAAAATACATAAATGTATGAAAGGCATATCTGATTATCCTATAAAAAAGATGATAGGCACATTTAATACCTGCTAACATTTATTTGTATTAAAGTCATTGATTATCATATCATATTGACTTATTATGATGCAGGCTGCGACAAATATTTTCAGATCTTGGATCCAGCAAAAAAATTCAGGAGCCATGTGTGCCTGACTTAATTTCACTACTGTTTGTACTGTAGTGCCTCGATTATCCACGATCCTCAATTATCCATGTTTTTTCTTTTCCTCAAATTTTCTCAAAATAATTGTATCATTACAATTCTAAACAATAATTTACATGTTTTGGAAGAATTGTCCCTCAGAAATTAATTTTGGTTGCAAATGTTCATGTTTTGTGTGATATCTAGGGTTTTCATGTGCAGGATCTGGCATGCATTCAAATCATAAGTCGACCAATTCAAGCGTAGTCTTGCCTCTTTAATTTTTAGCTGTTAAGACAGGAATACAAAATATCTGTAGCTAAGTTAACTTTATTTGATTAGTGATTAAAAAATACTATACAAAAACACACAAAATACACATTAAGATTTCTTAGAGATTTCACTCAATTTCAGTTGTAATCCACTCTTCTATGCTGCATGGCAGGTGTCCTTTAACCACAGATGTATGTTAAGGTTGTGTCGCCCAGTTATGCATTGTCCTATTCCCTAAAGATTATTGGTACCTTCAATCTGTTTAACAAAGGTTTTTTTTTATAATAATTCACAAGCATAGATTTGCCCTAATTTTTGATGTATTTTTCATAGGTGTTGATAGGGTGCAATTGCATTTCTGTGTCTATAGCAGAAAAAGTACCAAAATTTAGGAGCTATTTACACCTATATTAGCAATTAAATTCAATAAAATTGGAATGGCAATCAAAAGAGGAAGAATTATAGGAGAAAAAAAAGAGGAATTGGACTCATGTAACTAAATTCAGAGTAGTTGAGCATGATCGACCGACTGTGAGACGACATTTATAGTTTTTCATGATAATGTGATTAAAAAACTGTAAAAAATTACAATTTGAAACAATTTGGAACTTAAATATATTGAAAAATTTTATTTAGATTAAACAATGGGATAACTAACGAGATACACTAGTGTCTCAATTATCCACTGTTTCTGTTGTCCACAATATTTTGCTTTTCCTGGACCAGCACAGATAATCGAGGCACCAGTGTATATTTATTTACTTTCACAGCAACAAGTGCATGCTAACGATCACAATATCAACAACTACTTGATAGTATTGCCTGAAGTAACTGCCTTTGGTCCAGTTTGAGTCTAATCACGTGCACTGATTGATTGAACTGAGAGAAAAAAGAAAATGCTATGAAATTAGTAAAGTGTTGTGCAAACCACAGCCCAGTGACATCTGTTTGCAAAATATTTTAAAAACATTTCTGGTGATATATTGATATCAGGTAAATGTATGTTATAATTACAAACTTTACATGTTGTTGTACTTTCAGATTCAAGATGAAGGTACTCATACTGAGTTGGTTAATGGTGAAGCTGCAATATGGTAAGCAATTCAGCACCATTCTGTAGGTCCCACTAGCCTGGTAGAAAATGAGAGAGAGTTCTCTCAAATGAAGATAACCAAGATCATTGTATGATGACCAATGGGAACTGCTAATGGTTCAGCTCATGAGTGCACCATGCTATCAAAGCGTGGTTGTAGAATGGTTTGATGTCCAAAAGACCTGCTGATATTGAATAAAGATCATCAAAAAACCTCAAGAACTGCTACAGAGCCTGATGTAGGGTAAGCTACCACAGTAAACCCTTGACACAGTGTAGCTTCTCACCTAGATTCAGAATCTAACAGTGAACCAAAATATGACAATAACTGTGGTGATAAAGATTCTGATGATGAGTTTAACATGATGGAGACAAACATCGAAGCTTTAGTAACAGCAATTTAAAACTACATTCACTATTTGGGCTGTTCCATTAAAATGTTTAGGGGTTGTTGCTGAAAAATCTTGTACATGTGATTTGAAACTGTAAGGCTCTTTATTTTAAAAAGTTATAGTAAGCATGTTGTTCAATCACTTACTAATAAACATTCATTACTGTTAGTATTAGTAACCTGTTTCTTGTCATATTTTGATCATTTGTCCAATATACAAATGAGGAGCAAAACAATCTTATCCACTGATTTTGAGTCTCCAACAATACATTCAGCCAGCAACACTGACCACAACATAATGGGCATTAAGCTTTCGGTAAAAAAACTATAGTTTGAATGTTTTTTTTTTATAAATATTAATATTTAAATAATCAATTTTTTAACACCTATAATTACTTCTCATAAATATTTTCTAATTTTTAATATGAAAAGTAGCATTAATTTGTGAATTCTGACAGCTAGTTTGTATTATAAATTTAGAAATCATTTTCAGAAATGTATTTTGTTTTACTTTAAATAACTTCAAACTGTGTTTAATTATAAAACAATGATAAAGGCATACATTAAAAAATTCATCATCTCCACTAATTACTCATTTCTAACTTATCCTAATCCCAGCCAAAGTACTCTGTTTGTAGTGAATGTTAATTTTTTTTTCTTTCTTTCCTTCTCTGTCTAACAGTAATGAATTATTTATTTTTATACTTGTTATTTGACTTCAGATATATAACTTCACAAAATAATCAGCAAATAAACTGGTTTTTCATTCTTGTCTTATCTTTAAACCTTAAGTTCTAGCAACATTGGATGATTCAAACTTTATTGTTAAGTAAAATGTGATTTGGTTGTATTATCTTATTATTTTTCAAGTTTCTTTTCTTCATGAAAAGAACTCCAAGATAGTAAAAGTGATATAACCAATCAATATGTACGTACCTTTTGCAGATCCTCATTTTCGATTTTAATCTGGTGCATATTTTTTTCTAGTTCCTTCATGTAACTTGACATTTCTCCATCTAAGAAATCCTCTTGTCCAAGTACTTCCAGTTCTTTCTTGAACCTCGATGAACTGTGTTTGTTTCTCTGTAGCTCTAATGTCAATTCTAAGCCAGTTAAAACAAATCAATATAAAAATGTTGCAAACAAGAAGATATGTATGAAGTAAGCATTCTATTTTTAATGAAAAGTGACTACTTGGTATAATCACTGGAAAATATAATCTGCTATACCAGTATATCTAATTTCTATGAAGTCTTTACTATTTAAAATAAATAAATTAGCTACATTTTTAATCACTATTCAAAATATATGTAATAAAAATAGTGTATTTTCACTTTAAACAGATGCAACCTTTATCCCCTCTTTTTATTTTGAGAAGTATCTTTGTCTTACACTGTAAAAACAGTAAACTGTATACATTGTTTACATTTATAAGTAATTGAATATAATCTGCAATACATTTTGGAAATGACATACAAAAATAAATCAAAAATTGCTACAAAATATATAAACAAGTAAAATTTATATGTAAGTATCCCTCACAAAAAAAAAAAAAAGACAAGTATGAAAATAACTTTACCTCACATGCCAATAGCTTTATAATTACCTTTTATTTCCTTAGAAAGTTTTGCTTTCTCCAGACGAAGATCTTGTACAGTGTTGTGAGGTTCAACAGATGATGAATTTCTCACATCATCACCATTCATCAAATAGCCCACACCAGATAATTTACTACAATAAAAGAGAAGACTTGCACTAAAAAAACCTAAAACAATCAGAGTTAAATGATTTTCCTATTATTGTTACAAAATAAAATGTCAAAATGCTTCACACTAAAGACAATCTTTTATGAGTAGTCAACAACTACAGAAATAATAATTATTCAGACAATTTGATCTTCCAATTTATTTTATAATAAAAAAAAACCTATAAAACTCCACATTACATACAGAATAGAAACTATTAAATCCTGAATTAAAATGTGTATAATAACTACAAATCAAGTTTTTCATAATTAACACATACAGCAAACATACATTCTAGATGGAAAATATCTAACAACCTGCTGTCATAAATAAATCCCTAAAATATCATTTAAACCTACAGTTACATTGCGTTTCCTAGCAGTCACAAATCAGTGTTGAGTTAGAAATTTTAATACAATATGGCTAACCTAAATATTTCTTCAGTTTTCTATTTGTCTTAAATCATGAGTTCAGTTTCTAATCTAATGCATGTAAATTCTATAATTCTTTAAATTTCCTTTTCAAAAACGAAAAAAATGTACTAAATTTTACAGTGTTAAATTCCTTCACAGGAGAAAACAATGAAACACTTTGGAAATAAGTTAAGTACAAAACAATCAAAAATGAGATATAAAAGAAAATACATGGAGAGAATTGACATTTTACCAGTCATCTGTCTTAAACTTTACTTACTTTTAAAATTTATGAGGTACTTTCAGAATTTAAAAAATGAAACACTTTACCTGCCACAAGTGAAAGTAAACCCTACAAAGGGTAGATGAAGACCAGAAAATACACTATTCCCTGTAGGTGGTGCTGAATCCTGCAAAATTAACATTGAATGATGAAAATAATTAAAAATATTTTTAAAAGCAGCTTTAAAAATCAAACATCCTATATAATACAATATAAAGTAAAAACTTAAGGCTGTAGCCATAAAAGAGGCAAAAAAGATGTTTAACTGTAACAGTGGGAGTTCTTTATTGTGTGAATTCAATTACAATTTATTTTATTAAAACATGCAACCTAAAATTACTGAAGATTTTTTTTTACCTGGTTACCGTTGCTGTAGTAATCAAAATAAGTTCTTACAAGTCTCTTTACAAGAGACCACTTACTTTAGTTAGTTAAACACAAAACAATCTGAATTAATATACTGAAACAAAATCATTTCACACTCAGATCCAAACACAAAAATACCTATACAATGCATTTTCTGTGGTATGAATATTAGATACATTTCAGCCTGTCTACCATACCGAAACCTAGCATAATATGCTGAAGAAATGTTAGATCACTGGATATGCTGATATAAAATATCAGTCTAACTACTTAAAATTAATCAAACAATGGTTTATGTGAACTCTTAACCAATTTGTGAAAGAAAATTGAATATTTAATACTAAATTAATCATTCACGGCTTTAATGAACATTCAGGAATGAAAGTTAACACATCAACTGTGCAAAAGGAATTCCATGTTGCTAGGTTACTTAGATGGGCTGAATTCCACAAGAAGCTAATCACAATGTGAATGAAAGACATCACCTCTCATGATTTTCAAAAGTAAAAAAATGGAATAAGAAACAATTGAAAACTAGTGGTTGGAGAGAACAATCTTACTTAGTCCTTGTCTTGAATCTGATATCAGCTTGGAGAACAGTTGGATATGACCTTATCAAATTGTATGTAGACAAATGTGAATGCCAAGTTATATATGAGATATGTGCACTATGAAATATTTAAAATTAAAAGAAGATTCAGAGGATAAGACAGTTTTTTTCTGGGCAGAAGTTCACTGTATCGTTTAAGCATAATAATATTCCATGCTACAAAGTACTTACAATTTTTGCTTGGTATCAAAGTAACAACACTGATGTTTTGGAAAGCTTATCCAGAATCTAGATCCTAACCCTAAAGACCACCTTTGGGACCATTTCAAAGGATTAATTAAAAATTTAGACTACAGCTTTTCAATCACTGGACATGCTTCTTATTCTAACATGAAGTATATTACACCAGTAACCTTCTGAAACCTAACTAAAGGCATACTTTGAAGAAGTAAAAGCAGTTGTTCAGGCTGAGAGAAGTGATGAGATAGTGAAAAACTACAAAATTTAAGGCTACAGCACTGTTGTGAAATTTAATAAGACTACAATCAATTCTAAAAAAAGTTGTATGTTTTAGATATACCTGGCAATTTTTCATGCTTTTTAATTACTTTTTACAAACAAAAACTAATTAACATTAAGACATCTTACTAGAAAAAAAAAGTCCAAATACTCATATTCATTACAAATTAGGGACTTACGTTTGAACGCTGGTCAAGTTCATCAAGGTCATCAAAGTTAGATGTATCAGTAGGACTACTAACATCTGGAACATATGGGGCTGGGCCTGAAAATCACATAGATGCCAGAAATTCCAAACATATATGATACTTAATTAGAAAAAAAAAAAGGCCATAAATTCAAACACAATTTCATTGCTGAAATATATTTAAATCCAACTGCTACCAGATCTCATTAATAATATTCACAAAAGGAGAAATGGTTATGAAGAAAAACTTTAATATAAGGTACCTGATGATGACAAAACCTTGTCGAAACGTTGTACATTTGCTGTTATGTTAAA